CGGCGAGGAGACCGAGGGTGGATTCGGCGACAGGTCCCGCATCGACAATCGAACATCGGCACCGTAGGTCGGGGAGGCAGCCCGGGCACATCGGAACCGGTATGCGCGAGAATGTGGGCCAAGACTGGGCTGAAGCCACACAGACAGACGGCAACATCAAGCTGTTTCATGCACCTCCTGCTCCTGGTCGCAGGTACCTTCCCTGGGTGGAGATGCGCAGGGCCGGCCCAGGCATTGCAAAGTGGGTTGACAAATCAGTTGGTAACACTACATGCAGGACGCGAACCGAGAAGGCGCCACATGGTCGACTTCAATGAGAGCGAGTCGGCTTTCTTGGTTGTGAGATCAACCAGGGGCGTCTGGTTCGACAACCCCCACGTGTTCCATCGGAGCCTCGCAAATGTGCCAATCAGCTTTTGTTTCGCGCCTGAGGAGGGGGCCCAGGTTCAGACCGAGCTCGGGCCAACGGCTTTTGTCAAGGCCGGCATCACGTCGCTGCCGCCTTCGCTCCTCGGAGCTGAGGTGCGCACGCGCACGCCAGGATCGGCATTGTCCCTGCGGTGTCCCCGTCTCCAAACATTTACGTTTCTCCCTCGCGCAGGCGTGCGGCGTCAAGAACAACGTCGTCGTGAAGAAGGAGGCCGCCACTGAGGAGGCCGCCTGTCCGAGGAGGCCGTCGTCACCGAGGTGTCCGCCACCGAGGAGGCGACCATCAAGTCCGCCGCCGGCGAGGTGTCCGCCGCCGCGGAGGAGTCCGCCGCCACCAAGTCCGCCGCCGCCGAGTCTCCCGCCGACCGAGAAGGCCGCGCATTCTGCAAGCGGATCCGGCGCCCACAGCTGCTGACGCGCCTGTGTGCGTGTGCACAGGGCATCACCGAGTGGACGACCCCCTCAAAGTCGCGCCGCAACAACGAGCGCAACGAGCGCAAGGAGGCGTCCGCCCCGATCGACTGCGGCAACGGGTACGGGGCCCTGCTCGGGTCGGGCGGCAACGAGGGCATCGTCGGTGGCAAGGCGACGTCCAAGGCGACCCGCAGATCCACGCCGTCGGCCACAAACTCGTGCTCGCCGCCTGCATGTGCACGTGAAGCACACAAGCAAGGCTGAAAATTCTTTTTTTCAAGAGACGCTCGGTGTTCTGATCGTATTTTGATCGACCCGCCGCTCTCAGGGGGCCTATGTCCAAGACCAAAGGGCAGGGTGATGCAAAGATGACTCCAAGGGGCAAGCATATCTCCAACGTTGACGACGCGTACGAGGCCCTCAAAAGCGGCGGTAACCGCGACCTCGTCGGCGAGTCACTCGCCGAGATGCAGCGGAGGTCGGCAGACGACATGGGCCGTGCAAAGGTGCTGCTTGACATGGTCGACAGGTCGAGGGGGCGCCCGGGCGGCCCACTGGAGCGCGCCACCAAGGCGAAGGAGCAGCCCAGAAAGTACTCCGAGAGGCAGATTGCGGAGTGGCGCGCGCGCGTCGAAGCGCTCTGCTGCCCGGCGCCCGGCTTCGTCATGAAGTGCAGCTTGACGGGGACGCTGCCGTGGCTCGGCAAACTCAAGGAGGAATCGGACATCCCCCCGAGGGGGGGGGGGGTCACCCGCACCCACGCCTTTTTTACCGAGGCGGGAGGCGGGGAAGGCCCCCTCGACGACGAGGAATGGTGCGGAAAAGAGCCCCCCCCCCCCCCCCCTCTCACAACCGCCGGGCCCGCCCTCGCCCTCGCCTGCCTCGTCCGCCCCTCGCCCACCACCGGGCGCCTCTCGGGAGCCCGCCCGCGCGGCCAGTCGTCTCTTCCCATGATGCTGACGTCTCGTCACCCTCGCACACACACACACACACCGCTCACCCACGCGCACCGGGCCTTGCACTTTGAATGGCGCGCGTGAGGCTCCTGTCTCTTAGACGTGGAGTCGCGGGGACTGCCCCCCCCCTGCCCCACCACCGCGAGCGTGTGTGTGGAATCATTGCCCCTCCCTTCCCTTCCCTTACCCCCTCACGGGCTCACCCTCACCCAGCCCCTCACCGCCCACCCCAGCCACAACCCCTCACCCCAACCCCAACCCCTCCCCAACCCTACCACAGGTACGACATGGACCCCGACCGCGGCCACACGCTCCGGCGCAACGCGCGCGCGCAAGGAGTTGTTCTGCCCGAGGGGCACCGGGGCAAGCGCCAGGCGCCCTCCGAGGGGGGCAGCTTTAAGCTCGACTTCGAGAAGGCCCCGCGCACCGCCGCTCGCCCCGCACACGTCCCACGACACGCCCCACGTCACGCCCACGTCCACGACACGCCCCACGACACGTCCACGACACGTCCACGACACGTCCACGACACGTCCACGACACGTCCGCGACACGTCCACGACACGTCCGCGACACGCCCCACGACACCCATAGGACGTGCACCGCGTCAGCGCAGCGGAGGAGGAGGAGGAGGAGTTTGGAGACCTGCCCGCCATGGACCCCGCCCTCAAGGTACAGCCGAGATGCCGCCGAGATGCCGCCGAGATGCCGCCGAGATGCCGCCGAGATGCCGCCGAGATGCCGCCGAGATGCCGCCGAGATGCCGCCGAGATGCCGCCGAGATGCCGCCGAGATGCCGCCGAGATGCCGCCGAGATGCCGCCGAGATGCCGCCGAGATGCCGCCGAGATGCCGCCGAGATGCCGCCGAGGTGCCGCCGAGGTACAGCCGAGGTACAGCCGAGGCGCACAGCCGAGGCGCACAGCCGAGATCTCGCCCAAGATCTCGCAGACTTGCCCGACACGTCGGGGGTGGCTGCTGCCCCCGCACAGGCGGAGGTGGTCGTGTGGCTAGCGGAGCGCGAGGAGGCGCGGCAGCCGGACGGCACGCTGCAGCGTACAGTCTCACCTCGAGTCACGCCGCGCGTTTCTTTTCTTGGCGTAGGAGCGGCGGCCGGACGGCACGCTCGCGGGCGCCGCTGCTCGCACGACACGCGGGCGTGCAGCGCGCGAGCTGGAGGGGGGGAAGGGAGGAGGGTGGCGATATAGGCCGCTCCTCGCACGCGGGCTTGGCGCACGAGCTCGAGGGGGCGGAGTTTGAGCCGAGGATGGGCGAGACTCTCAAGGCGCGCGTCCTTTCGAGAGCGGCTCTATAGCCAGAGAGGAGGCCGAGAGGAGGCCGAGAGGAGGCCGAGAGGAGGCCGAGAGGAGGCCGAGAGGTGGCCGAGAGGAGGCCGAGAGGAGGCCGAGAGGTGGCCGAGAGGAGGCCGAGAGGTGGCCGAGAGGAGGCCGAGAGGAGGCCGAGAGGAGGCCGAGAGGAGGCCGAGAGGAGGCCGAGAGGAGGCCGAGAGGTGGCCGAGAGGAGGCCGAGAGGAGGCCGAGAGGAGGCCGAGAGGAGGCCGAGAGGAGGCCGAGAGGAGGCCGAGAGGAGGCCGAGAGGAGGCCGAGAGGAGGCCGAGAGGAGGCCGAGAGGAGGCCGAGAGGAGGCCGAGAGGAGGCCGAGAGGAGGCCGAGAGGAGGCCGAGAGGAGGCGGGAGGTAGCCGAGAGGTGGCGAGGTCAGGCGAGATCAGGCGTTCGAGGCCGAGATGCCCAAGCGGCTGATGGAGAGGGACACGTCCGCGACATGTCCACGACATGTCCACGACACGTCCGCGACGCGTCCCCCGCAGGGCGACATGCTCAAGTGGCTGATGGAGAGGGAGGGGGTCGTGCCACCCGACTCGGAGCGGGACTCGTACGCCGCGCTGGAGGCGAGCAGACACTTCGTAGACACTTCCAAGTGATACGCGACTCGTACGCCGCGCTGGAGGCGGCGATCGGCACACACACACACACACACAGAGACACACGCACACGCACACACACACACACACACACACACACACACACACACGACACACACACACATACACACACACACACACACACACACACACACACACACACACACACACACACACACACACACACACACACACACACACACACACACACACACACACACACACACACACACACACACACACACACACACACACACACACACACACACACGTCACGCACACGTGCACGCACGCACGCACATACACACACACACACACACATACACACACGCACAGTGCACCACACAGATGCTTGCACCCACTCACAGGCGGAGATCCACGCGAAGACGGGCGGCTTTCAGCTCGACCTCGACAAGGGGAAGAGCCTCCAGAAGGGGACAATGGGCTCCATCAACACCGAGGACGCCCCCCCCCCCCCCCCGAATCGGGCCACCACTTCGATTTTTTTTGCAGAACGCGCCTGTGTTTGAAAA